AAGTGTTTTCTGCAGCAGCCTCTAAAAATGCAAAATTCAACCAACACTGTTGAAAAGACAAGCTTATGGAATTCAAGGAAGACAGGGAGAGATTTCTATGAAATTGCACTCCCCAATATCTCAGTAAATAATAATTGGCAGAAATACAGGAAACTCATAGATAACAACAGAATATAAATGAAAGGTAATTGTTATTAAAAAAAAAAAGAAACTCTGAAAGCCAACTTAATTAGCTCTTCCCCCTCCCTCCTTCATCTTCTTTCTCCCCTGCCCTAAGTCTTTGTGTTGGCCTGGGGCAGCCTTATCACGCTCATGGATATTTTATTAAGCACCTGTTGCGGGGGGCAGTATGTGAAATTTCATAGAGGTTTTGGAGATCTCAGGGCTCTAGGTGGAAGTTCACTCATGCCATCCCTCTTGCTTCTATCTACCGATGCTTACTTTTTGAACGCTGGATCTCAGTGGCCCATTATCTACTTGGTAGGGACACTTTTAGGTGCATTTGAATTGAAACTTCATGCAGTTTCCAAGGAGGAATTCTACTAGGAGAGTGAATTTAGAGCCATGAATCCTCAGAAGATGAAAAAGGGTTGGCTGTGGAGGAGTGTGGAGCCCAGGAGTCAGGAAAACAGAGGAGGGAGTAAATTAGACATGCAACACTGATTAAAATTAATTAATACAGCATAAGAGGGAGTAGATATCCAGTAGGAGTGAGAAAAAAGGTGAAGAAAATCAAATAAAGGCTCCTTCACCCCTCTCAGCCGGATGCCAGACCATTTTCAGGGAAAATGGCGGAGTAAACAGAAACAATATCATTAACTTCTTAAGAGTCTTATTACAGACTAGCTTACATCCCAACCAACTACCCTCCTTTCTCAGGGAAACTGAGAGGTGTGCTGAAACTCAATGTTAATTTTTCAGTATTAGCATTTATATCTCAGATTTGATTTATTGTTCCGGTGATTGTTTGGATTTAAGAAAGTGTTAATAATGCAGATGCAACTTAAAAATGCGTGTCTATCAATCTGTCTCTGTCCATTATCCTTTCATCCAACCATCCATCCATCCATCCATCCATCTATCTGTCTGTCTTCCCAGGCAGGTTGTTAAACAATTACCAGTTTACTCCAGCATTGCTCTATAAACATTGCTTGAACTCATCAGGAGTTCGGTAGAAGGCTCAGGTGGTGCAACGGATAGAGTGCTGGGCCTGGAGTCAGAAGACTCATCTTAGGGAATTCAAATCTGGCTTCAGACACTTGCTAGCTGTGTGACCCTGGGCAAGTCACTTTATCCTGTTTGCCTCAGTTGCTCATATGTAAAATGAGCTGGTGAAGGAAATGGCAAACCACTCCAGTATCTCTGCCAATAAAACCCCAAATGGGATCATGAAAATCAGATATGACTGAAAGACTTAAACAAAAAGAAGCCTCAGGGAGTAAAATCACTACCAGACTGGAGGCCTTCTGACTGTATAATAATAAAAGTCGCTGGCATTTATATAGCACTTCATGTTTATATAAACTGGTATTTACATAAGCACTTTACATCCATTATCCTATTTGAATATCACACTCCCTGAAACTGATCTCATTAGAGAGCAGAATACAGGAAGAAAATGCTATGTCTTCTGAAGGGAAGGATTTGCAGTACCTACCTTCTCAGTAAGGACAACATACAAAAATGAGCAGAATAGCTGATTAAGAAAGACAAGAGAAAACTGAGGAGCAGAAATGAAAAAGTATCCAAAGACACACGAGTGGACAAGTGCTTTACAGCAAAGGAAAGCAAGTCATGATCAACTGAAGAAGTCAAAGATTTCATAAGAAATTATGTAAGGCCTGCTAAAATGTCAATATGATAGCTAGAACAACCTCAAAAATGGTCGAGAAAAGCAATTTAAGAATTAATAAAAAATATCCAACAAATCAGGCTAAAAACTAGAGTTGTCAAGAAAGAAATTAATGTCAGATCAGAGAAATGTAAATTTAGAACGAAGACAGAAATAATCTATATAACAGTAGATTCTCTGAAAAAAGATGAACAAAGTTGAAATGCAGAAAACATAGAAATGAAAAGAAGCATAATGGATAAACAAAAAAGAAAAAAAAATTATTGAAAAAAACAGGAGAATGTCTTGTTTGTACAAGATGCCCCAACACCTACTCAGGAAAGGAAATATAAACCAAGCTGAGAAATGTTTCACTTTTGATGCTGTATCATCCATCATTACTTAGAAGAGTTCCTACCATATATTAGGTTCTTCAAAATGATGATGAACCAATTAAATGGGGATAACTTTTTGTTATTCAGTTATTTTTCAGTAATGTCAGTTTCTTTGTGACCAAGTTGAGAGTTTTCTTGGGAAAGATACTGAAGTGGTTTGCCATTTTCTTCTCCACCTCATTTTACAAATGAACAAACTGAGACAAACAAGGTTAAGTGACTTGCCCAGCTAATAAGTATCTAAGGCCAGAAAATGAGCCTTCCTGACTTTAGCATTGGCCAAATATCTGAGGAGCACACAACCATGATACAGCATTTATAAATATAATATTTATAAAAATACAATTAAAATATTTAAATAAAAAATGACAAATTATTGGAGAAATATTTACTGCTCATACTTTGTCCATGTCATACAATAAAAATACCAATACTCCATGAATTCATTTACAAATTTTTTTTACTATAGCTATCAAATTACTAAGTGATACTTTTTTTAAAAAATCTAGACAAAATAGTAACAAAACACGTTTCAGAGTTTAAACTCTTTAAGGGAGAATAACGAGTAAAAGTGCAAATGAAAGCAACATAATAATAGACCTCAAACTATATTACAAAGTAGTAGTCATTAAAAGTATTTGTTATTGTTTTGGATAAGTAATAAGTAGAATTGAACAAATTAGCAAAAAAGAGGAAATAAACAGGGAGAAAACTATTCAATATTTTTTTTTTGGATGAAAACTGCTGAGAACATTTGGAAACATTTGGGCAGAAATTAGGGTAAGACCATCATTTTATACTTCTTATCACAACAAGCTCACAAGGAACACATTTATTAAACATGAAAGGTTACACCATTAAAATTAGAAGAGGATGAGATCAGGCACATTTCATGCTATGAGTAGATAGAGAATTATTAACTTCAAGAGGGATATGGGAAATGGTAAAAAGATTTTAAAAACTGACTACAGAAAAATACTTTTTTCATTAATAAAATCAATGGAAATATAATTAGGAAAAAACAGTAAAGAAAATTATTATAGAAAACAAAAAAAATTGCAGCAAATATAGAAGTCTGAAGAAGAAAATATACAAGATGTTCAAATTTGTACAAATGGACAAATGCTAGGTGATTCACAAACTATTTCGCCTTTCCTTGCTGTCAACCAATTACTAATCAGCAGAAAAACTCAAATATGCTTCATAGAAATCCTGGGTTAAATCTTCAAAGTGAAAAAACAATTCAAATTCAAATAGTTATGCTCTAATACATAACACTTTGAAAATTCAGATATCCCATAAATTTGATAGTTTTAAGTAGGACACTTTGAATCCCTGTTAGAATAGAAGCTCCTTGAGGAGAAAGAGACAATTTTATTTTTGGTTTTGTATCTTTTGTGCCTAGGACAATGCCTGGAACATAGTATGGTACTTAATAAATGCTTGGTGATTGGCTCTTTTATATTAGAAGAGAAATGATGGATGCAAAAGAAGAGTCCCTAGGGGCAGCTTTGTGGCCTAGTGGATAGAGCACTGGCCCTGGATTCAGAAGGACCTGAGTTCAAACCTGGCCTCAAACACATAACACTTACTAACTGTGTGACCCTGGGCAAGTCACTTAACCCCATTGCCTAGCTAAAAAAAAGAGTCCCTGTAAGGAAAGCTAGGTGATACTATATGTAGCTATCAATGGGCCAGGTCGGCATCAGGTATAGTTAGTGGGAGTAGTAGCAGTAGGGCTTCCAACAGGGCCCATGGGTCAGGCAGTAGATGCTGGTTTCTTGCAGTGGTCCAGCCCAATAGCAGAAGTTACTCATGATGTACCTTCTATTTGTTGATAGGCTAAGGAAGCTACCAGACTCACCTCTTTTGGTTATTCAGATATTAGATACACCATTATAATATAGGCCTTAGCTCATCATATTTCATAAGATGATGATCTTATCTTCTAAGTTCTGGCACCTTATTAGAGGCAGTATGGTACAGTGGACAGAAGGAACATGACCTGGAAGCAGAGCACTGAAGTTTCATTCCCAGCTCTGCAGCAAGCCACTTAGCTTCCTTGGCTTCTGTTTCATCTATCTAAAGGAGTGGTGTATTAGATGTCTTGCAGGGTCCCTTTGCTCTAAATCTGTGATCCTAAGAACCTTGGAGTTCCTTTCCAGTTCTGGGTCTATGAAACAATGATGGGGAAAAGCAGACACAGTGTGGCTTAATGCGTAGACTGTCAAACTTGGAGATGAGAAAGTCTGGCTTCCGGTCCTGCTTCTAAAAGCATACTATCTGACCATAAGCATAGTCAATTCACACAATCTCTCAATGACACAGGCAATTCCATCCTGAGATTTTGCTACACTGACAAAATCATAAATCTCATGTTCCACCCCATCTCCCAACCCCTAAAGAATTGATAGATACATACTAAGCTGTCATGGTGAGAAGGAGAGAAGGGGAGATATCTTCTCCTTTGAGGGATTCATTAATTGCCAAAATTACCAAGAAGTACAAAGTATCTGGGTTTTTTTTTGTTTGTTTGTTTATTTTAACACTTTCACTTATCTACTGGTTAATCCAGCTTATATAAATTAAGCAGAACTTTCCTTTGGAAACAAAAATCTGGTACTTCATAAAAGCAACTCTAGTTTTAATCTGGCTAGCTTTGCCAAGCAGTATATTTTCCCAACATGGCCCATGATTTAAATTTCTTGAAGGTATCCCTCCATATTGAGGTGGGTCATTGGATGCAACATCACCACCCTATGGTTGGTACTCACTAGTGCAAACTCCTTGTTGAGAATCATCTGCTCCACCAGGGATGACTCGTTGTGGAAGAGATGGGGCTGCATGTGACTCCACATATGAGGAAACCACCAGAACTCATCCACAGACCCCAGCAAGAGGTCATCCCCTTCATCTTCCTCTTCTGTTCCTATGAAATAAGTGAAAACTGGCTTCAGGAACAGGCAGAAAACCAGTAGCCTGTTCTGCATTTCCTACTGTTGCTATGAGAATAGATCCAGCTATTAGTTCACCTTCAATCACAAGAATGGAGTTTACATATCAAGGAAGTATAATATAGAAACAAAATTCCACTATATATTAAAACATTCATAATAGTCTTCGTTTTCAGCAAAAAGATTTTTTAAAAGTATGTATTTGACAGTCATCAACAAACATAAACACTTGCACATACAAAGACATAAAAGAGGATTGAATATGAAACTATCAACTCAATCTACCATGTACAACTTTTTTTAAAAAAAGAATACATTAAATTAACATGGTAGGACCAACAGTTACCATATTTTCTGTGTATTTAAAATTTTCATTAATGCTCTTTTTGCATTTCTGTCACCCTCTTCCTCCAATAAAAATCATCTCTTTTTAACAAATAAGTATAGTCAAAGAAAAAATGTGTTGTATTGTTCTTGTCTGAAAATGTATGACTCATTTTGTACCTCTAGTCTATTATCTCTCAGCCAACAGGTGGGAAAGTAGGAATTATGCTCTATCATCAATCTTTTGGAGTTGTGGGAATTGATCAGAGTTCTTAAGTTTTTCATTGTTGTTCTTTACATTGTTATTTCAAGGCATAAGTTGTTCTAATTCTGCCTCTTTCACTCTTCATCAGTTCATTCATGTTTTCCCTTGGGTCCCTGAACAGTTCATTAATTAATTAATATTTCATTATTTTTTATTGTACAATAACATTCAATGATGTTCATATATGAAAGGCACTCCTGAACAAAAACAATTTTCAGCCATTCCCCAATTGATGTCCCCACCGCCTTCCAGTTCTGTGCTATCACATGAAGTGCTCATAGCAGCACTCTTTGTGATAGTTAAGAACTAGAAACAAAGGGGCAGCTAGATGGCGCAGTGCAGAGTGCACTGGCCCTGGAGTCAGGAGGACCCAAGTTCAATTCTGGCATCATACACATAATACTTCCTAGCTGTGTGACTCCTCCGTACAAATCACTTAACCGCAATTGCCTCACTAAACAACAACGAGAGAGAGAGAGAGAGAGAGAGAGAGAGAGAGAGAGAGAGAGAGAGAGAGAGAGAGAGAGAGAGAGAGAGAGAACTAGAAACAAAACAGTTGCCCCATAAATGAAGACTGTTTGAGAAAACTATAAAATATGTATTTGCAGTAAGAAATCATGAATATGAGGATTTCAAAGGAACATTGGAGGATTTTTATTACTGAAGCAAAACTGGCAGGACCAAGAGAGCCATGATCAATGCACAATGAAATGACGACAATAATACAAACAGGCATGAATAGAGATTGGGTCAAACATTTTGATACATCCTAGGAAAGCATTCTCATTGGCTGTTGCACCAAAGTGAAAAAAAAGGGCCAATGTGAATGCTCTCTAGGGCTATGCCAGTACATGAAACTCATATTCTATGAAAAGATCATTAAAAGAAAATGTAATCTGAATAACTGAAAAACCACTGAAGATTCTTGGAAAAAGAAAACCATAACATTTATGTCTCCCTTCATGGTACAGAGAGGTAGGGCACTATTATTCCCCTAGTCCTACTAGTGTAAAATGTATTCATTGTTGGATGTTACTATACTGTGCATTTTTGTTCATTTCTCTTTTCCACAAATCAATCTATAGGAATTTTTGAGTTTTGTCCCAGAAATAAATGACCATGATATTTTTAAATCCACCAGTACATTTTTTTCATAAGTAATTTTAAAATCAAGATGGTAATTCAAAAAATTGTATCACAGTGCTCAAATTTTATTTTAATGACCTTTGCAAATAGTTCACTGTTTTAAATTGAATTTAAATGGTTTCAGCTATCAGCATTGGGAATTCAGCTGTGACTTTGAACATCAAGCACTAGGTTTTTGCGTTAGAGAATCACAGATTTAGAGTTTTCGGGGCCTTCTGAGTCCAATCCCCTCATTTTATAGATGAGGAAAGTGAGATACAAAGAAATGAAGTGACTTGTCTAGGGTCACCCAGCTGGTAATTGTGTGAGACAGGATTTTAATTAAGGTCTTCCTGACTTCAAGTTGAGTACCCAATATACTACATCATCCTACCTTTAAAAATTAAAAAAAAAAAGTTTGAAAGCTGGGAAGCCAAGGGGCACCTGAGCAAAGCTTATATTTGGCAGGATTTGCATCTTATGACACCTGTGTCCTTTAACTGTGCAGTCATCGTTTAGCATTTTTCTGCCAGTGCACAAGCCAGATGGAACCCAATTTGACCTCCTAGTACCAACCTAGCTTCCCATGTTAACACTACTAACAGAGGTAAAAATGTGTTTTTCTCTGGAAGACAGGTTAACATAACACCAAGACAGAAGGAGAACAGATGTTACAAATGAAAAAAAAAAAGACTGCTTTAGCATAGACTGATTTCTAGTAATAAATACAAAGAAAATATATTCTGAATCAACATGATAGAAATCTGTATCCTTCTGTTGTCTATTGACTATTATCTAATAATTAACATAATGCAACTCTAAGTATTAGATTAATATGAAACTGAGATTAAGAATGTCATATCAGTTCAGAATGTCTTTTAAATAAAACTTTGAGTAAACATTAAACAATCTTCCTGAATTTCCCAGTTGATTATATTTCCTTCAAACAAATCACAGGTCCTATAGGCAACTAAATTAAGCAAATGTGTATTGTGTATCCACTATGTTCAGTCAGTGTATGAGAGGACTGCATATAATAGATACACCAAATATTTTTCTCTCTAAGATAGAGGTTCTTAACCTGGGGTCTATGAATTCTGTTGTTGTTGTTGAAATTTGATAACTATATTTCAATGTAATTAGTTTCTTTTTATAATTGTATGTAATTTATTTTGTGAATTTAACTAACTTATTCTGAGAAGGGCTCCATACATATAGCCAAAGACACACAAAAAAGTTAAGAACTTTAGCTCTTAACAGCTTACATTCTACTTTGGGACATAACATGTACAGAGATAATAAAAAATAAGATAATTTGAGGAGGGAAAAAGCTCTGACAACTGAGTAAATTTCTAAAAAGCAAAGAAAAGGAAAGAAAGAGAGAGAGAGAAAGAAGGAAAGAAGGAAGGAAAGAAGGAAGGAAGGAAGGAAGGAAGGAAGGAAGGAAGGAAGGAAGGAAGGAAAGAAGGAAGGAGGGAAGAAAGAACAAAAGAAAGAAAGAACAAAAGAAAGAAAAAAGAAAGAAAGAGAGAAAGAAAGAAAGAAAAAGAAAGAAAGAGAAAGAAAGAAAGAAAGAAAGAGAGAAAGAAAGAAAAAGAAAACAGAAAAGGTTTAATGGAAAATGGGGCCCTTGAGCCAAATTTGGAAGGGAAATAAGCTTCTGAAAGGTGGAAGGTAGGGGGGAGGGAACATTCCAGGTCGTCAGGATGACTTGTGGGGAATGTACAAAGACATGAGATTAAATACGGAGCTCGGGGAATAAAGAGTACTGCAGTTCAGCTGGAAAGAGTGCACAGAAGGGATCAATATGAAGACAGCTGGAAAGATACGTGATGGCTTGTAAAGGGTAAGCAGAGGATTCCTTGTTTTAACCTAATGCCAGAAAAAATAAGGAGCCTCTGCTGGTGTTAGAGTAGGGGAATGAAATGGTGAGTCTTCTGATGGGGAATTGGTCTCCCGTGTGTGTGCACATGTGTGTGTGTGTGTGTGTGTGTGTGTGTGTGTGTGTGTGTGTGTGTGACTTCTAAAGCTAATCAGTTGTGAGGTATCTTTTATGGTATGGATTGGGCTGGGTAACTACTGATGTCCTAACTCTGAAGAGAATGATTTTATGCTTCTAAAATATTATTTTAACAAGAATGATTTAATAGAAATTATAGGATTATTTTTTTTAGTATTGATTAGTGAAAGGCTGGAAGCAGGAAGAATCTAGTTCTAGGAAGCTATTAAAATAATCCAAAGAGCTGATGAGTTATATTCTATACATTTGGGAAAAAGTCTGTAGAATGTTGATATCAGTATGGTGTTAGATTCTTCACAATCCGTGAAGGATCTTAGATTTATGTTGCCCGCAACCAGATTGTACACCGAACGGAGAGGCGTGAAATAACTTATGACATGGGCCAGGCCGAGTAGAATTACTGACTCAGTTTATTCATCTGAGGGCACAGAATATATAGGGAAGATCTAGCCTAACTTCAAAGAGTCTTCCCCGTGAGATACTCCCCAGAACATCTGCTGAGGAGGTAACAATCATGAATTTCCTCCTTATCAGGGTTCCTAGATTGGGCTGTAGATTCCAAGGTTTTCCCAGGCGCCTTGGCGCCACCTGCATAGAGGAGTAAATACGTAAATCTAAGGTTCAAAGAGAGAGAAGGGATGTCTCAGAGACCTCTTTATCAGGAAGGAATTGGGGAGCCTTACCACTTAATCCCTGAGCCCTTTGGGGTGAAAGCCTGAGCAGAGGTCAAACTCTGCCTTGGATCTTAAACCTTTATCAGACTCTTAAGATCGGCCCTCAACAGATTTAGAATTTCAAAGGGACTTTTGATCAACCCCCTAATTTTATACATGGAGAAATTGAGTCAGATGGGTAGTTTGTCTTTGATTATAAACTCCAAAGCAAAGATTAATGTTTAATTTGTGTCTTCCAGCACCTTAACACAGAGGCATCGTTATGAAAGTGTTAGTATTAGCCGTTGTGGGGGTCAGGAGAGGCTTCCCATTGAAGGTGGTTCTTGACCTGAGTTTTTAAAGAGAAGGATTCCATGAAGCAGAGGCAAGGGAAGGAGTGAATTCCAGACAGCGGAGATAGTCAGTGCAAATGCATGGAGTTGAAAAAGGGAGAATCATTTGTGAGGAAAAGAGACAAAGCCAATTTGGCTAGATTGTAGAGTACCATTCTACTTCCATGAACAATAAATGCTTTCGTATGTGTTGATGATATTAATGCTACTTTAAGACTATAAAAGGACATATCAG